TTGCCCTCCTGGGCTCAAGCAATCCCCCTACCTCAACCTCCCGAATAGCTGGGACTATAGGCATGTAGCACCAAGCCTGGCTAATATTTGTAAATTTAATAGAGATGGAGTTTTGCCGTGTTGTCCAAGCTGGTCTTGAACTCCAGAGCTCAAGCGATCCACCCATCTCAGCCTCCCAAAGTGCTGGGATTGCAGGCTTGAGACACTGTGCCTGGCCAACATAGGTAATTTTAAATGACAGCATGACATTCCATACTATTGATATATTCTACTCAAACATTTCGGTATTATTAGACATTTAATTATTTTATTATTTAAAATGATCTTATAAATATAATTTGCATATGATGCTTTTTTCTTTTGAATTATTTATTTAGCATCTCTTCCCAGAAATATGATTATTGATTTTGTGTCCAACATTTGAAACTCCTTCCTTTTATGCAATAGTTCTAAAGAAGCAATTACTTTCAGCACATGATGGAAGGAGAAGCGGACACATCATAACATCACAATGAAGTCATCTTCATGTAGGAACAGACTCTCCAGGGAAGACTGATAAGGGCTGCAATTATCATCACTGATGTCATCATTTATTCATCAACATATGTATAAATTATCTGTGATGGGCCAGGTTCCTTTTTAGTAGGAAGAAGGTTACAAAAGAAAACCAGAGACTTGCACAAAAGAATGCAAGAAGCTGGCCAGGTGCAGCGGCTCACGCATGTAATCCCAGCACTTTGGGAGGCTGAGGTGGGTGGATCATGAGGTCAGGAGTTCAAGACCAGCTTGGCCAACATGGAGAAACCCGTCTCTACTAAAAACACAAAAATGAGCTGGGTGTGGTGGTGGGCACTTGTGATCTCAGTTACTTGGGAGGCTAAGGCAGGAGAATTGCTTGAACCCAGGAGGCAGATGTTGCTGTGAGCCAAGATTGCACCACTGCACTCTAGCCTGGGTGACAGAACAAGACTCTGTCTCAAACAAACAAACAAAAACAAAAACAAAAAAATGCAAGAAGCTGCAAACACAGATAAATAAATATATATGTATTTGCAAACCCTCCAGATTGATTCTGTATGTCTTTTTCTGTACCATGTAGAATCTCAAGTTAAAAAAAGACATTTTCTTCTCTCAAGGAACTGAAATTATGTCAACCTGATATTCATCATCTAAACAAATAAACTTTATAGAAGCCATGAGGATATCTTGTAAGAAGGAAGAGTCTTGTCTCCAAGAAGTTCATATAAATGCCTTTTTTTTCTGTATCTTGATTTTCTTAAAATAAAGATGGTGATACTAATATTGTTGGTGTCTTCTTTTTGGAGGCAGGGGTAGAAATCTTAAGTCCACTACTAGATTCCTTCTTTTGACTAGGGACCAATGTGAAAGTTTGAATTATGTAGGCCCAAATTTGGTATTCTGTTTTCACCTAAAAAATAAAAATGAGAGAAAGACTAACCTTTTAATTTTTTAAATCCCACAACATTCTGAATTCAGTTTTTTTTTTTTTTTGAGACGGAGTTATGCTCTTGTTACCCAGGCTGGAGTGCAATGGCACGATCTCAGCTCACCACAGCCTCTGCCTCCTGGGTTCAGGCAATTCTCCTGCCTCAGCCTCCTGAGTAGCTGGGATTACAGGCACGCACCACCACGCCCAGCTAATTTTTTTTGTATTTTTAGTAGAGATGGGGTTTCACCATGTTGACCAGGATGGTCTCGATCTCTTGACCTTGTGATCCACCCGCCTCGGCCTCCCAAAGTGCTGGGATTACAGCCTTGAGCCACCGCGCCCGGCCTCTGAATTCAGTTTTTATACCTTTTCCTTAATGTAGTTGAAGTTCCCTAATGATCTCTTTTTCTGTCTCTGTCTCTCCCTGTCTCTCTGTCTCTTTCTCAACACCTTGCTGAAAACAATTGCCAGCGTTCTCTGTTATGTGACCTGTAGATGGTATACCTGTGGCAAGTGGCTGCTTAAACTGTATGATTAACAGTGTAACAAATGCTTTATTTAAAAAACACTATAACTTTATGAAAATTATGCTAAGTATTATTAAGAATTATGTTGATCTAGGTGTTTTATTTACAGATCTGTTCTCTCTGGTTTTTTGAGAATTAGTAGGGACAATATAGACACTTCTGTCTCTTTTAATTTATGAAGAAATTATGTGAGGATCTGAGTTTTCTTCCTTTTCAAACTTCATAAACATTGATATCCTCATTATTATTGTCAGGAATATGAGTTACCATCACCTACCAAGAACAGGCAAAGCGAATTGGAAATTGGTTCTTCTAATCATCATAATATCAGTTAATCCCTTAAGGCAGTAGCTCTTACCTTTTTGGGATCAGACAATATGATAAAAGTTCTAAGTTCTCTCATTTAAAAATTTACGTACATAAGCATTTTTCTTGGGAAAAAATTAACTTTGTTTCTATAATTATATATCTATAACTCTCTCTCCTGCCCACCCCCATAATTTTTTTGCATATAGTTTCAGATGGTTTATGGTCCTGTCTCCTCAAAGTCCATCTGTAGTAGCCAAAACAAGTACCTGAGTGGGACAAGAGGCAGGAGAGACTGGGGTAGGGAGGAGACAGTAGATCACAAAAAAGAAAGTTTACTAGATTCATTCAAAGTGCTGGTCATTATACTCAAAGCCCTCACTGGAGAGAGGATTTGGAATCAGAGGCTTTGGACCAAATCTGTGCCCTCTTCCCGTCTCCCCTTTTCCTAACTGACTTTTGGAAAGTCATTGAAACCTCTCTGACCCTCAGCTGTTGTTGCCGTTGTTTTCCCTGTTAAATCAGGATTTCCTAACCTACAGACTGTGAACCAGTACTGGTCTGTGGTCTGTTAGGAACCCAGCCGCCTAGCAGGAGGTGAACTGTGGACACTCCAGTAAAGCTTCATCTGTCTTTACAGCCACTCCTCATCGCTGGCATTACTACTGAGCTCCGCCTCCTGTCAGATCAGCCTTGGCATGAGATTCTCTTAGGAGCACAAACCCTATGGTGAACTGTGCATGTGAGGGATCTAGGTGGCACACGCTTATGACAATCTAATGGCTGATGATCTGAGGTGGAACAGTTTCATCCCAAAACCGTCTCTTCCTGACCCCTGTCTATGGAAAAATTATCTTCCACAAAACCAGTCCCTGGCGCCAAAAAGGTTGGGGATCAGGTATTAAATGAAATCTTGTTAGACTTCTCAGGGTTATTACAGTGATCAAAGGAGAAATGATATAGGAAGGCACTACTTTTAAGTTCTAAGCAAACATGAGGTGTGCTAACTATCAAAGTGCTTGCTATTCCTTTAGCTTCAGCCTTGGGTTGGCCGTCTGTCCTATCATTCAGCTCTCAGCTCCGCTGTCACCCCAGAGAAGCCTCCAGTAACATCATATCTAAAGCAGCCTCCCTCTCCCCTTCACTCTCAATTCTATCACCTGCTTTTTTTTTTCTTAGTCAAGACACTTCACCTACAAAGTGGTTTCATTTTTTGCTTGCCTACTGCTTATGTGAGACAATAGGCAGGGAGACTAGTTGCCTGTCGGAATTAGGAACCACGCCTCCCGTTAGGGTAAGCGGTGGTGGGCCAGACGGGTGACGCAGGGCCCGGGTGACGCAGGGCAGTGGAGCCAAGCAGCCTGCTTGCTTACTTCTGCTTGTCAGCATAATTTCACACAGCCCCTGAGTCTGTGACCACCTGCAGCTGGCGGAAAGATGCTTTGAAGACGAAACAAGATAGAACACAGGATCCCTCACGTCTCTTGCCCGACTCACTACGTTCATTAATAGATAAATGACCCTAGTCCTTGACTTTTACTGCACCTAAGATAAAGTCTGATGAGGTTACCGATTATGCTGCTGTAATCTATAAACAGATGTACTCTTAAGCCCAAACTGTGATGTGCTTTCACACATACTGAATCTTCACCACCCGTTTCTAAACTGCGAAGAGAAGTTCTGCGTTGGAGGGTCTAGTAGACGCTCTGTAAAACATTCCTCCCGGGCTGTAGGCCCCCATCTCTAGTCCTCAGTAACACTTCTGAATAAAACTAACTTTCATTCTTTAACAGTTCGGTTTTCAAAGTTTAGTTGACAATCACTTATTGTCTTTCTCCTCCACTGGAATAAAATTTCCCTAATGGCAGAGCCCTTGCCTCATCCTCCCCAGGTCTGGGAACAATTCCTGGTATAGGATGCACACAGACTTTGCGGAGTCAGGATAGCCGTGGATAACAGTGGAGACTCCAGAGGAGGAAGACCTGGATGCAAAGCCCAGCTTCTCAATTTACTAGTTGTGTGACATTAGGCAAGTTATTTAACTTTCTCTGCCTCACTTGTACCGTATGTGAAATGGGGGATTGTAATAATATATACTTCACCGAACTTTTAGTACATGTGAAGTACCTTGAACAGTGCCTGGCACACAGTGAAGTTTTATGTGTGTTTTCTACTCTTCAGCGAGTGAAGTCTTAACACGTTAATAGTGCACTTGACCCTCTAAGTGTGTTAGATATGCATCGCTGCTTCGGGTTTCACAGGAAAACGACTTACTCTTCGGGTGAAACAGGCTGCTTGGCTCCACTGCCCCGCGTCACCCGCCTGGCCCGCCACTGCTTAGCGGAAGGGGAGGCGCGGTTCCTAATTCCGACAGGCTCCTGGTCTCCCACAGGTGGCACTGCTCGGAGCTCTCCCAGCTGGGGGCGTTCGAGCCTTGTGGGGCGGGGATGGGAAGCCTGAGGCTAGGGAGGCTCATCGCCGCCCCCGGAAACACAAGGGACGCTCCCTGAAACTCACCGGGACGCGCTTCCGACCCATTCCGGCCACTTGCCTTAAATCGCCGCAGGGCTGTGCAAACCAGCCTCCCAGGGCCCAAGTGACCGGGGCGGGGCGTTAGAGGACAGGGTGGGCCCGGGCGATCAGGGGCGGGCACCGGCGTCCTAGAGGCGAGCAATCGGGGCGGGGTGATCGGGGGCGGGCGGGACGATCGGGGGCGGGGCGAGGCGCTCGGCTCGGGATTCTGGGGCGCTTTGCTCCCGACTCCGCGGCGCAGACTGCACCTCGCAGTCTCCCCAGCTCCGCGCAGCAGCCGCACTCCAGCCAGGTAAGGGCGCGGTGGGCCGGCTGGGGCGACCCCGGAGTGCGGGACTCCGGGCGGGGGGCGGGTGGGGACGGGGATGAGCGCGGCGAGAGGTGGCTTCCACCTGCCCCTCGAAGAACGGAGAAGGATTTTCTCCTCTCGGTGCCGCAGTGAGCGCGGGCGCTCTGTATCTGGTGAGCTGCCGGTCCTCTTCAGTCCGGGAAGGAGGGACAGGTGAGCGCTGGGGCGCAGCCTCGCCTTCCTGCCGGCGGTCGGTTCTCCACTTCCCAACTCCAGCACGGACCTCTCTTGAGAAACACCCGCCCCTTTCGAAACCCTGAAGTTCCAGGCCCGAGGCCGCCCTGCGGCAAGTTCAGCGTTGGGGTCACGTCCCAACTTCTCTCGGGTTGGGCGATGGCGCGACCTTGATTGAAATTTGGCAGTATCGGCCAAGGTGTTCCGCAGTTGCAGGTGTCCACGTGCCTCGCCCAGTCAAGTTCACGTTTTCTTCCTCACCCTGCCATCCGCCGCCCCCACCCCGCCCCGGGAAATTGTGTTCGAATATTGAAAACAGGTGTCCGGCGAATATATGTACTTCTTGGAAAAACTAGGGCCTTGACCTGGGAGTGTGCGTTTTCCCTCGGATCTTAAATTTCTTGTAGATGTGATTTTTTTTTTTTCTTTTTCTTTTTCCCGTGGACGAATAACATGGTGCTGTGCACCAGGTTTGGAAACAATCTTATCCATTACTATTCTTTGGAAACTGGAATATTTGATTCGAAAGATTGATCTTAATGTTAACTTGGAACAACAGGACTGCTGATGGCTAAAGTGGGTTTGAAGACTATCCAAAATAGTTCTAAGTTTTGTATTTCTTGTATTTTTCCAGTGAATGTCCATTTTCCTCTTGGGAAATTCTGAGAATTTACTCACTTCTAGATTATTCTCTACTAAGGAAACAAACCAGTGGATCTCCCAAATAAGGTCTGGAATTTAACAGTTTAGGTTGTGACACTGGTAGCTGCTTACTCTGCAAGAAGTCACCTGGAGTAAGGGATATTATGGTTTATTTCTAAGGGGAAAAGAAAAGTATGCATAACTTTCATAGTATGGATTTGAAAGTATTTTTTAGTTTAGTTACATTTTCAATGTTTATGAAAGACTTACACTTCCCCATACTCCAGTTAATCTGATCCATATATTACACTCTTGCCAATGCAGGATGCTTACTGTGGTGTGTTTATGTTAATGATCTTGACTCCTCTCACAAGGGTGTGTACATTCTGGTCTGGGGAACTGTATAGGGCAAGTGTTGTCAGTTCATGCAAATCAGTGCTCCACTCTAGTTGGCAATACCTTTGCTTCACAAAGGTCCAACTAGAATTTTCACGTTTTCCCCAAAAGGAAAGGATATAGAATATTAATGTATGCTGTAGCGTTTTCAACCTACTTTATTCTTTATCAAGATAGTCATGTTTTCTCAGCAGCTAGTTACGAAAGGGCAGAAACTATGTTTTACCAAACCATGGAAACTAAAGCTCAGAGAATGGCAGGCTTTGCTTCCATAAGTTGACCCTTGACTGGGAGGTTGGAAGGCTTGTGAGTGGAGTCTGGCCTACTTTTAGGCTTGAGGAGGAATTACTGGCCTCTCTGCCTTCCTCCAGGCATCCTGAGTGCTGGGAGACTGTGCCTTGGGCCTCCAGCCACACCTCTGCCTACAGGTTCCTCCAGGTTGACCAGGTTGATGCCTCTCCTTCCTGCCCCAGCCTGCCAGCTCCTTGGCTTCCACCCCTCCCCTCTCAGATTCTCACCCCTAGAAGAATCACCATATTGTTCAGGGCAGGGGTACTTGATCTGCAGAGTCAGCAGGGGTGTTGATCCTCAGCATGGTGCTGGTTCTCTGTGGATGCTCTATAGATTCTCTGTAGATGTCTGTTGCTTCAGAGCCTTTCTTGTACTCCCTTATTGTCCAGTCTACAGCAGGCAAAGTGGAATTACTGATGTCAAACCCAGATCAACAGTCTTGGGGGCCAGCTACCTTGGTTGGACCAATTATGGTCATAAATTGGGCATTCAAGTCTGTTGGAAAAGAGTGAAACTGGCTCATGGTCGTTAGCAATTATAAAGGTATCCTGTACTATATAGTTATGCTATTATAAAAGCTCTGTGGAAAAATAAGAAACAACCCAGAAGCGAGGGGTTTAGTAGTTGCCTCCACCTCCAAACACGCCTCTGCTTGGGCTTGCCTTCTTGTCTCTACCCTAGCTCAACCAATTCTTCTGGGATTGGATTGAACAATTAATTTCCCCACCATGTCTGACTGCTTAGAGCTCAGATGACCACAGCTACTGTAGTCTAGATGTAGAAAATTGCATATCCTTTTGTTTGGAGAAACAAGGATGGAATGTTTCAAAGCAGAGTGTTATTAGGGAAACAAAGAAAAAGCAAACAAATGTAAAAATGTGTGGGCACAGAAGCCACAGTTTGTTTTGTCATGTTTTAGAGTTTTAAACTTTTATCCAAGTCATATTTCTCCCTTTCCAGAAACAACCACTTGTAATTCTTTGGCATTTATTGCTTGTAGTTGATACTTCTTGAATTTTTCAGTTTTAAGCACTGTATGTTGACTTCCCACTGTGGAAGATGACGAGTTGGCTCTTCTTCCCTCCAACCCCCAATGTAAGTACAGCTTCCCTATTTTCCCATTCTTGCAGTAGTTAGAATGTTGAATAACGGTTAGATCAAAAGTCACAGCTAAGCCAAGCATAACTTTTTATTTTCCTTGGAGTTAATAATGTATTCGTTTGTTCACTTTATTTTGTACTCTTCATGGATGCAACCCGCAGCTCTTGGCCAGGTTTCTGAATTCTCCCTCAACTGACCGATATTTTGTCAATTTCGTTTTCCCCAAGAAGCTGTTCCTGAGCCTACTGGCTTGCTGTAATCCAGACAGGTGACTTTGGTACATGGGCACACTTGTCACCCTGAGGGCTCCCTTTGTCATCATTCTGGAGATTCTCGTTCTTGGTCTCTTGTGTTGGATCTCCTGGTACCTGTAGCACATGGCTTCTCAGTCTTGGTTGGACTCCCTTCTTTTAGCCAAGCCCATCCTTAAGGAGCTTCCTGGAATAGGATGCATAGAGGTCTACTTTTCTGAGACTGTAGATGCCTGAAAAGATCTGTTTTCCACTGACAGTTGATAGTTTGGCTGAGTGTAGATTTCTAAGATGGCAATTTTGAAGGCATTGTTCTATGGACTTCCACTTTGCAGTATTGCTATTGAGAAATTTAGAACTCTATTGATTCCTCAGTCTTTTTTTGTGATCTGTGTACAGGTTACCAAGTTGCTGGGTCCCCTCTGGAAGTTTATAGACTTTTTTCTTGGCCTCCATAGTCCTGAAATTTCATGACGTTGTGTCTAGGTTTTGTTCTGTTTTCATCCATCGTGTTGGGTTCTTTGACTCTGGAAATTTTCATTCTTCAGTTTGGGAAATTTTATTAAATTATCACATTGGTGATCTTGGACGGTGGCTCATACATGTAATCCCAGCACTTTGGGAGGCCAAGGCAAGCAGATCACCTGAGGCCAGCTGTTCCAGACCAGTCTGGCCAATGTGGTAAAACTCGGTCTCTACTAAATCTCTACTAAAAATACAAAAATTAGTCAGGTGTGGTGGTAGACACCTGTCATCCCAGCTACTCATGCGACTGAAGCAGGAGAATTGCTTGAACCCAGGAGGCGGAGGTTGCAGTTAGCTGAGATTGAATCACTGCACTCCAGCCAAGGAGGCAGAGTGAGAACTTGTCTCAAAAAAAAAAAAAACCAAACATCTCATTGGTAATTTTTTTCTTCTCTGTTTTTGGTAGCTATGAGAAAGTTATATTGTTCAGATATTGGCTATTTTGGACTGGGCCAAAAATAAGTTTGTCATGACTATAATCATGAATATTTTAAATTAAAATCTCTGTTTTTTTTTTGTTGTGGTTGTTGTCTGAATATATGCATATATATTTGTATGTGTGTGGTTTGTGTGTCTATTTCTTTTTGTTTTTTGTTTTATAGTATCAGTCTTCTCTTTTCTCCCTGAGAAGCTTAATGATTTTTTGGAGCAAGCTTTTTTCCTTCTTGCACAGACTCAATTTCCCAAGCGGCTTTTGACTTTTCATTTGTTTAAGGTCTCTTTCATGTTAGAAGCTTTCCTTGTGTAACTAATGCTCTTGGTTATCTGCTCACACTTGAGAAGGGATATAAAAAGCAGATCTGGGGTCCAGGCATGGTGGCTTATGCCTGTAATCCCAGCACTTTGGGAGGCCGAAGTGGGCAGATCACTTGAGGTCAGGAGTTCGAGACTAGCCTGACCAACATGACAAAAACCCTGTCTCTACTAAAAATACAAAAATTAGTTGGGTGCGGTGGCATGTGCCGGTAATCCCAGCTACTCAGGAGACTGAGGCAGGAGAGTCACTTGAATCTTGAATCTGGGAGGCAGAGATTTCAGTGAGCCAAGATGGTACCACAACACTCTAGCCTGGGTGACAGAGGGAGGCTCTGTCTCAAAAAAAAAAAAAAAAAAAAAAAAAATTGCTGAAGATATGGATGAGCTTGTTGACTGGGAACTTCATAGTAGGGGGATCTGGCTGGGCTTTTTATTTTGGAAAACTTGATTGTCATTTACTGTTGGGCTGGTGAGAATCCTCAGAGAAGGCTCTTCCAATCTTTTCCCCAGAGATTGACAGAAAGCCTGGTTGCCAGTAATCTGGGAACTAAGTGGAGAAGAAGGCTGGAAATCTCAGCATCCATTATGCATATGTGCATACCTCCATGTTGTTTGTGTACAGACCTCCTGAAGGGTGAAGGAGTAGGGAGATAACTCCAGGTTTTTTGCCGGGATTGAGAAAGGGCAGTCACTTAACTGCTTGGAGTGGCCAAAGGAATCTGCGCTATCCGGCTTTTTAAAAAGACATTAAAAAGTTACTAATTTAGCTGGGTGCATTGACTCTCTCCTGTAATCTCAGCACTTTGG